AAACAAGGCACAATTCAACGCAGGATTTTCAGAATCCTCAGAGAACAGTACAAAATAATAATAATAAAAAAGGGCAGTTCATGACCCCTTTAAAAATGATGGATGTCAGCTATATGTAGTTTGATTCCTGTGTAAACACTCAAGTAATGAAGTGAGTTTGGCGGTGGGACTACCCATTTAGATCAACCAATGGTAAACAAGGGGAGTATGTTGGAAAACCTGTTTAAAAACAATCATTATTTTTACCATTCTTTTTTGGTAGCTCAAAAATGACACACTTCGCCTTTAAGAACACACGTGTGTGATTGATCAAAATCAGTAACAATACCGTTGTCCTCACAAAAAATACAGCTTACTGACATATGGCAAATCATCTTGAAGTTAAATGGAAAAAGTGTATTTTTTTCTTTTTGACCCATCTCTTAGTACCTTGCACAACTAAACCAACAGGAGACACATAAGAATTTCTGTGAAATGAAGGAAGAATTAGGTTTAGTCCAGTGCCTGTTAGTACCACAATGAAGTACTAAAACAGTTACTGTCATGAGAAAACAGTTGTGCACAATATAATTTTTCTGTAATATGTTGTAGGTCCATTTTGATTCACTCGCTCCTTTATAAACACAGTGCAATATTGCACAGTATCTATATTCACAAAAACATTCTCTGCTGTCTCTCTGGCTCCAAAACAAAGTAACTGAACAAAGGACATCCAACTTGCATGCATGGTGTCTCATATTACAGCATGTTCACACGTTCACATTAAAGCACACAAAACAGGTGCATAAGATATGTGTGTGTGTGTGATGCATTCTAGAAAGAGAAAGTAAAAGATTCTGTAACCCGAACATTCATGACAGTAGATTTTGTTGTGCAATGCATGCCTCTAAAGCAACAGTTAGAGCAACAGACACCAGTGCTGTGGTTGTTTGGCTGAGATTGAAATGTTGTGGTTATGCTGGTTGGAATTTAAACTAATGTGCCTGGCAGACACTTCACTGTTGCCACCTGCTCATCTCTGATTAGACACAGTTGTCACTATGACCATGCTTAATATATGATCATCCTGGTATTTTAGAGATGCTGGCTGCTGTGTGTTTTCCTTCAGAGGGCACACTTAGAAGATGAATATGTGTTGAAGAGTTTTAAGGGCCATATTAGTAGATTTTTACATCTTAACAGTTCTGAATATGAGTAAATATTTATCTAAATGCTGCCAAGGAGAAAAAGGATTAAATCTTGAATTTGTTTTGGGGGTGTACTTGAACATGCTCTCATGCTTGGTGGTTCGAAAAACGCATTATTTTTTTACATCATTTACATTATTACAATACCTTTCTCCCCATCCTGGCACAAACGGCTCGATTAGTTCTGGGTTTGATGAACGCCCGCCTTCCGAAAAATGAAATATAATGTGACTGGTTAGCTGTCCCAGTGCATTGTGATTGGCAAATAGCTTAGACGGTGCTTCAGTACTGCCCCGCCCCTTGCCATAGCAGCAAATTCCGTCTGCTCCGGTTTAGTTAAGGATGGCGTCAATATTGCCATATCAGTTTGAGCTGGATTCAGAGCCCGAGAATATTGAACAAGAGGATCGCGCAGAACCTTTGCACGCACGGATATTGCAAGACATATTACAGTGGTAACGTTATTGTTTTGTTTTTGGCTAAATCACATTTTAGATCGGATGTCAACCGCTTAAAAATAACTGCATTTACTATGTACAGATAAGTGCATATGTATTATTTTTATTGTTCTTTAATTCTAACATTATAACATGAATTGCAGTGAAACTGTTATACAGTTGAATTTATTTATACCATAGTCCAGTGTTTCCCAGGCGGCATATATATATGCAAACTCATTCTCTGCCAGCAGGAGGCGCTGTTGGCGTGGTAGAGATCAAGGTTATCCCGGTAACGGCTGTACACAAAGCAGCGCTCCGCTAAAAAAAAACACTGCTTTATCAGACATTACATGCAAGATTAAATGAAAATGACATCCAATTTTCTGAAGACAGTCGGTTTCCTTCAGAAATACAGTGATATAAAAACACCGCACTCAATGTATGGGAAACACTGTAGTCTCATAATTGAAGTGCAAATTCTGCAGATTATATCATTGTCCAGTATTGTACTGTCAGAAATTTATTATAAAAACGTTTTCATAATTGTAACATACATATTTACATACATAATTATTCAGGTGCATGTGTAATAACTTGCGAAAAC